ACTCTGGACACACCTCTACATAGCTGATTGCATCCTCCAATCCTGAGTTAGGTCTCTTCTCTGGAAAAGACATTTTCCCAGGATGTGTCTGTAAGTTCTTTGAGGGAATTATCAAAGAAAAATTGCACCAGATGGAGTTAAACAGGCTTAAGTTAAGACTATTGCAATAGAAGACAGAGATTGAACTCAACTTGGAATACAACTGGGGCAGCTAGGTTCTTAACAGCCAGTGGGCAGGGAAAGAGAGTCACTGGATGGAAAATTGCTAAAAAACAAAAAAACAAACACACACACAAACTTGATTAAATATTTAGTGGAGTAGAAGGAACTTGATTTGATATCAAGGGTAGGGGTTTCCCACCTAAACTGGTTTAGCAGGATTCTTGCCCAAACTGGACGCCATAGGATTCTTTCTTAACCTGGGCTTGACAGGCCCATAGGATTCTTTCTTAACCTGGGCTTGACAGGCCGAGGATGGAGCGAGCCTCTTTCAGAAGAAGGCTCAGAAGAACCTCACTTGTTTGGTCAAGGAGGGAGTCCTTGTCAACACCCCTAGAGGTTCCCTCAGCTTCCTAAAGGCACAGGAGAGCCACTGAACCTGTGAGGAACCAGCAGAAGTATCCACGTGCCCTCCCAGCCTCTCTCATGTGTCTGGCCGGTTCTGGCTCCCTGTGGCACCTTCTCTGGGGCCTTCTCCCCAGGCCTGGGTCACTCGGGCGCAGACACCCCTCCACCCAGGCCTTTTCCATTACCTTAATTTAGAGGATTGGAATAAAGTCTGAATTCGTGGATTTGAGCTAAGACAAGTGGGTCCGCGATGCTAGATATGATCACAATGATTATGTCATTAAATTCTCTTTCAATATTCAAGAAGTATTTCTTCCTTCTGTTCCTGTCACTCATAAAGTTCCAGGAAGGCAGTTGGAAGTCTGGGGTCTATTTGTGCTATTGAGTTTGTTTTGGTGAGGATGTTGGTGCTGCGTGGCTGAGAGACCACAGGCTGGCGGTGGTGCTGGTTCGGAGGACTGCAGGTACAGTCTTCCCAGACGGGGAAGGCCTTCGGGCCATTTCACAGGAGAGAAGACACTTTGGGGGAGGTCTCATCACACTAGCATCCACGAGGTGGAAAGAAGGCAGGACTACGCCTGCTGTGGCAACAGCCTGAGCAGAAGAGGTTATTTCCCTTTGTAATTAGCATTATCACAGGCCATGTAAGTGGAGGTACCATCAAGCACCCCCGGTGGGAACCAAAAGAATGTTCTCATAAACTTAGTAGACTTCATTTGTTATATAGTTTCTGTGTAACCAATGGTAATTCATAATAGGAGCTGATATTTGTAGTCTAAGGAATTACTGGAATTGAGGAGAGTAGGACTTGACTTTGTTATGAGAACATTAAAATGTTGAAATAAAAAGGAATCTGAAAATAAGTCACTGGATTTAAAGGTTGCCCCTTATGACATAGAAGAGATTCACCTGTACAAAACACAGAGACCTGTCTTTTCCTTTTTTTTTTTTTTTTTTAAAGATTTTATTTATTTATTTGACAGAGAGAGAGCGTGAGAGCAGGAACACAAGCAGGGGGAGTGGGAGAGGGAGAAGCAGGCTTCCTGCGGAGCCGGGAGCCCGAAGTGGGACTCGATCCCAAGACCCTGGGATCATGACCTGAGCCGAAGGCAGACGCTTAACGACTGAGCCACCCAGGCGCCCTCCTTTTTTTTTTTTCTTTTTTTTAATACCTATCTCTTCCTAATTTAGCTCCTGTCTTGTTGGAAGGGAATCTTTCCTTCCTGTGGCCTGTTTTTCTCTTCATTCTAAAGGTAAAATGAGTGTACGGACTTTCTAGGTTTGATCTTTACGTCCAACTCTACCCTGTCTACACAGTGAGAATAATGTTCCTCGAGCAGACTTTTTGTCCCTGAGTCTCAGCTAGGGTGGTTCAGTTGTAACGTTTGTTGGTGTGAGGACACCCCACCCTGTGCTGCCTGTGTTGGACTGGGGCGCCAGTCAGGGAGCATCCTGCCACCTCCAGGCTGCCCTCCAGGAACTTGAGGTTCCTTGTGGTAGGAATGAGGAGGAAGCAGAGAGGGTGGATGAGTGTTCCTAGTTGCGAGAGTGAGAAATTCCCTGGGTGTGGGGCTTGGCGTCTCTGCCTCTGTGCAGGGCAAGACTGAGAGCTCCAGGGGACACCTTTGTACTTAGAGATGTTGAAGGTGCTGGGTGCCCCAGGAAGGTGAACTTTTGAAAATGGAATTTAATTCCCTGGTTCTTCTGTTTGATTCTAGTTGGGAAGTTGAATACTGCTGCGTGTTCGGATGCCATCCCACGAACTATAAAGTAATAAGAGGTGGCTTCGAGCCAGATCAAACCCAGCTTGAGGATTCCAAGTCCAGACACCTCTCCATAGTCGTGGTTAAGTATCTCCTCGGAGTAAATGCAGTAGCTCCAACCCAGAGGTGGGTCAGGCTTCCATGGGACCAAGCTGATAGTGAAATCTGACGCTGTGTTGTTGCTGAAGAGGTGATGAGCAAAATATAACTTAAGGCAGCTGGGACACTCTCCACCCCGCTTCTGTTGCCATCCAGATTTTGTGAGGTCTGCAGCCTACACAACTTAGCTGGTCCTGTTTTAGAAAAAGAATAGACGTTATCAACACAAAATTAGATACAGCCACTCCAAGGTGTATATGATGTATCTGAGGATAAGCTGCCGTAGAAAGAGGCAGCAGTCTTTTTTTTTTTTTTTCAAGGTATGGAAAAAAATTTATTTAGCTTTGTGAGGCTTTACTTTCACAATAATACATATCCTTGGCACTGTAAGACCCTATTAAAGTTTCATAAATTGCCTTAATAAGGTAATTATTTAGGTTGATTTTATGAGACTTTAAGACATTTAAGTTTGAGAAAGTTAGTGGTTTTCAGGATTTGCACAGATGATGACAATCAAAACAGTAAAATAAAGAATAAGACTTTAACACCCCTAATAACACAGTAAGCTGCAATTTCTAATCAAACACCTATTCCTAGGTTATATTCATTTTGATGAAAGAGGCAGCAGTCTCAACTAATTTCCATTATAATATACTTTGGCACTTTTACAAAACATGTTTCATACAGGGCTACCCTCTCCAGGGTCTCGCAAAGAGCGTGTGCAAGTGAGGGGTCATGATAAATACTTCTCTGAGGGGCTGTTTGGCAGTATCTTTCAAAATAATCTCCCTCAACAATTTTTTCCTTAAGCACAAAAAAATTAAAAATACTTGTTTAAGAATGTTCATTGTAACATTTTGCAGTATCAGAAATTTGACCATGTGCCCATCCACTTAACGGAAATAATAGCTGCTACTAAAAACACTGGGACAGAGGTAGGTACCCACATGTTGGCTTGGCAGTTTGGGGAGAGGATTTACTTTAAAACAAACAAAACCCAGCAATTTCTCAATTGTAATACAGCATGATGTAATTTTTATAAATCTTAATTTGTGAGTTTATATATTCATTTAAAGGTAGATTTGAGGAATATACACCGAACTCGGTATGAATTTTTCTGAGAAATGGAGTTGGGGAATAAAGGAGTTTTTCACTTTTTTGCCTTGTGCACCTTTGTGATGTAATTTTTCTTCTGTCTACACGTGCTCACTTTTGATACTAAAAGTGACGATCTACCAAGAAATTAACACCCTTCCATAGGGCATTCAGAAGTCCCGTTTGCTCCACGTCGGCCGCGTCCTGTGCGCAGCATGGCCGTGATCCCAGCGCACAGAAAACGAACGGGACAGAAGGTGGGTCCGTGCCTGCAACGGAGGAGCCGCACGGAAGGTAAATGCCGCGCGTTCGCAGCGGCGCCTGGGAGGCTCCTTTGAAGATCCGTGACGAGGGCACAGAAGCCAACATTTTATACACAATTTCACTGGGTTTAGGGACTCACCCAAGACCATTTACAGAACCCGAGGGTAACAGCTTTTAATTAGAGATTTCCAGAAGAAATGTCCGGATTCTTCAAAGCCTCTAGAATCGGAAATGCCAAACGGGAGTCATCAGTAGGGACCGAAGCAGAAGGGCAGCGAGAACCGGGAGAGGGAGCCACGCAGCCGTGCAACAAACTGCCCTCGGGGGTGTGTCATTCGCCGAGGCTGTTGGCCAGGCCGGGCCGGCTGGGTGCGGGGGAGGAGGAGGAACCGGGGCGGGCACCGTGGCGCCGCCGGCGCTCCCGCGGCCCCGGACCTGGCGCCGCGCCGTCTCCAGCCCCGCCGTTGCGCGCACCTGCCGACGCCGTGGCCGCGGAGCGCGCGGCCCGAGGGAGCACGCGGCGGGCGGGGCGCCCCGCGCTCGGGGAGCGCGCACGGTGGCTCCGGCGTCGGCTCGGGGCGGAGCCGCCGCCGCCGCCGCCGCCGCCTCCGGGGGAAGCGCCCTCTGTGGGTCGCGCTGCTTCCGCACCCGTAAAATGGAGCGATGACCCCGGATGTCACAGTGCCTTCTCAAGCCCGGCTTGCGGCGACCGGGGAGGGAGGCGGGGTGCAGCCCGCAAATTCGCGGCCGTGGCGTGCGCCGCAGGGGTGCCCTCGCACCCGCGTCCGACTGCCAAGAAAACCCGGAGCCGCCTGGAGCCGGTGGAACGCCCCGCGGACGGCGGCGGCGCCCGCTTTCCCGAGCGCTCGCTCCGGGGCGCAGCCGCCCGCGGCCACGACCACCGAGAGCTCGCACCGCCCGGCGTCCTAGAGCGGCCCGGAAGTGCGCACCCGGCCGGCGGGGACGTGCGGGCGACGGCCGTCGCGTCGGAGACCCCGCCGGCCGGGGCGTCGCGCGGCCACGACCACCGAGAGCTCGCACCGCCCGGCGTCCTAGAGCGGCCCGGAAGTGCGCACCCGGCCGGCGGGGACGTGCGGGCGACGGCCGTCGCGTCGGAGACCCCGCCGGCCGGGGCGTCGCGCGGCCACGACCACCGAGAGCTCGCACCGCCCGGAGTCCTAGAGCGGCCCGGAAGTGCGCGCGCGGGCGGCGGCGGGCGGCCCTGGGCCCGCGGCTGGGGCATCGCGCGGCCGCCCTGCGCTCCTCGGAGGCGGGAGCCGCGGCTGAGGGACGCGGGTGTGCGAGCGGCCGCCGTGCTCGGCTCCGGAGCGACCTTGCCCGGGCGCCAGGAGGCCCGAAGCGGCGTCGGTCACGTCGGGTTTCGGCGTGGCGGGGCCCGTGCTGCGCGCTGGGTCCTGGGCCCGCCGTGCCGGTCCGCGCGGAGCCTGGCTTCGCGTCCCAGGGACCCGCCCCAGGAGTGCCCCGTGTTGTCTCGGACGCAGGTCCTGCGCCGCGGCCGCCGTCCTTCCGTGTTCACGAGGACTTCCCGCCCAGCGTGGGGGGCGGCGCGCCCGGCCGAGCGCGCACCTGCCCAGACCCGGGCCGGAGTTGTCGGGGCTCAGGATGGCCGCGGCCGGCCAGGCTGCGGGGGACCGGGCGGAGATTATCAGAGTGAAGGTTGAGGAAGAAGACCACGTTTGGGATCAGGAGTCCTGCCTAAAGAGGAACGTGTCTCGCACCCGGGAGCTCTGTCGCCGGCGCTTCCGGCAGTTCTGCTACCAGGAAACTCCTGGGCCCCGCGAGGCGCTGAGCCGGCTGCGGGAGCTCTGCCGTCAGTGGCTGCGGCCCGAGACGCACAGCAAGGAGCAGATCGTGGAGCTGCTGGTGCTGGAGCAGTTCCTGGCCATCCTGCCCGAGGAGCTGCAGGCCTGGGTGCGGGAGCGGCACCCGGAGAGCGGGGAGCAGGCGGTGACCGTGCTGGAGGATCTGGAGAGGGAGCTGGATGAGCCTCGACAGCAGGTGAGAAGTGGCAGGTGCCAGCTTCCCTGGAGAATTTGAGTGCGTGCGTCGAAGGTGGAGTACGTGCCATCAGCTTCCCACGGGTGGCTGCGTTATCGTTTGAACACATTCATGCCTGCGGGACGACTGTTGATGTAAGTGACAGCTGATCCAAATAAGTAGATGACGTAACCAAATGGGAAGCCTTGATCTATTGCTTACCAGTAGGAAATACGTCTTATTTAGTGACTGTGAGATTAAAGTAGCTGTCTCTTCTTAGGGCACCCACTACGGTAAGCGTATGTGAAAACAGATCGGTATGAGAGTATAAAGAATACCTTCTAGGAGAGACAAATAGAGAAGTAGCCAAATGTAGTAGAAATACCGGAAACGGTGAATGATGAGATTTGGATTCCGTAATAGGCCCTGTCACCAATGAGCTGTGTAACCTTGGACATATCACACCTTCCCTGGGCTTTAATGTCTTCATCTGTACAACAAAGAGATTGATTGCATCATTTTCTAGATACTTTCCATTACTTGGGGTTGTTGGTGTGGGAAGTGTATCGAGCTCAGTATTTGGTCTTTCACTATCACACTAGAGATTATTTTTAAGGGAGTATACTTGTCTCCTAGGACAGTAATTTTAGACTGTGATGGATATCGCCAAACACTCCTACTTTTCTGTAACGATACTATCCATACATCTATCTGAACCCTTTAAATAGGAACATTTTACGTATACAGTTTGATCTGTTAAAACACATTTTTCTGAAATGCATGTCTTTCATATGAGACTGATAAATAGGGACATGAGTCCATATAATGCTGAAGTTGTGCTGACTCATACATGAATTTTACCAGCAAGTACATGTTTTGGGCCACCAGGTAAGAGCAGCTGAATGCGAAGTATCTGATGATCGTGGAATGCAGCACGTTGTGAAGACTTAGAGTACTGTGCAAAGGCCCACTCACCCCCACCCCCTTCCTCTGGGCTCTCTTGGCCACACTCTGTTTTGGAAATGCTTATTTCTATGGTTCCCTCCCATCTTTGTGCATTTTTTGTTAAACTTTCTTGTATTCCAGAAAATGAGCAAGCACAGGGGTTTACAAGTGCCACAGGAACGTGCTGGTGATAAAATTTCTGCTCGTAAGCATAAAAGAAGAAAAGCTTTAACCATCAAAGAAAAGCTCGAAATCAAAATGCTTTGAAAAAAATGGAAGAACCTGGGACACTGATTGTGCACCTGGCATAAAGGAGTCAGAGAATGGGCCACCTAGGTGGCTCAGTCGTTGAGCGTCTGCCTTAGGCTCAGGTCATGATCCCAGGGTCCTGGGATCAAGTCCCGCATCGGGCTCCCTGCTCTGCGGGGAGCCTGCTTCTCCCTCTCCCACTCCCCCTGCTTGTGTTCCCTCTCTCGCTGTGTCTCTCTCTGTCAAATAAATAAATAAAAATCTTAAAAAACAAAACAAAGGAGTCAGAGACTGCTGGGAAAATGAAAGAAAGTTACCTTGCTGGAACCAGTGCTACGGGGTTCGTGAGAACAAGGCATGAGGAAATGGAAGAAATGGCACATCTGTCAAGTGTGTGGATTGAATACTAAGCACAGAAGCAATCAGAGGCAGCCTTTCTCAGAATAAAGAGAGGGTCTTAGCAGGACATGAAGACCTTAAGAAAAAAGCTGGAGATCCTGCACATGTGCCTTCATTTAGCGGTAGTGTCTGTTCCGTGACCTCAAGCACCACCATGCCTTCCGCAATGTTCAGCTCTCTGGTGAAGCTGTGCGTGCAGATGAGAGAAGTGTAGACAGTTCCCCCAGTATTAGGAAATTTGACTGATGAAGAAGGCTGTACGTGGGATCAGATTTTTAATTTTGACGAAACCAGTCTCTGTTGGAAGCAGATTGCCTCAAGAGCCTGTCTCTCGAAGGAGGAAGCACACACTCGAGGGCTGAAGGCTGAAGGTCATCTGGTGCGATGCTGCCTGCAGATGCCAGTGCGGATGTACAGCTAAAGCCTGTTGTGACGCATCCCGTCGCCCACCCACAAGCTCTGAGAGGAGGTGCCCAGACTAGCCTACTGTAGTTCTAGCAAGAGAGGCTGCGTAACAGGGCAGATACTGATCTTTTAGGTGATGTTTTTGTAGATGATTTAGGCAAGTAACTGTAAGAGGAAAAAAATTCTTTCAAAATTCTTTTGATTCTTAAGAATTATAAGCCATCCAAGCCATTCTCCAGTAGTTGCTGAGCTTTCTTCAAATATTAAAGTTCTCTTTTCCCCTCCTAATACAACTTCTTTAGTCCAGCCCCTTGATCAGGGTGTGATCTCAGCCTTTAAAGCTTATTACTTAAGGAGGACATTGGAGATGTTTATTGCACCTACAGGGGGTGAAATGCACACACAGTTTTTGCATTCTGGAATCAGTTCAACGTTAAGCCTGCCATTGATACTATTGAAGAGGTTTGGAATGATGGTCACGGAAGCCTGCTTGCTTGGAGTATAGCATAAAATTCTCCCTGATTTAATTCATGATTCCGAAGGCCTTGAGCCTTCACAAGAGCGCTCCCAAAGCAAAGCAAGCTGTGTTGCTCTGGCAGAGGAGGCTGAATCTGGGAAGTTGGGAGTGAGGGTATTGGGAAGCTGCTGCAATCCTGTGCAGAAGATCTCTCCACATAAGAGCTGCAACAGTTAGTTGCTCAGGCACAAGTGGAAGGTGTGGAAGAAGCTGCCCCGAAAGAGCTGTTCATTTCTCTCTCACTTTATGCTTTAGGTGCATTGGAGAGGGCGTGGCAATGGACCAAAGGTAATGCAGAAGGCAGCGGGATCGCACTTCTGCGTAAGGTCCTATTCGGAACCATAGAAGCTCCTGCTTTATGAACGAAGGAAAATGTTTAAGCAGCAAAAACTGGGTATCTTTTTATAAGTCAATGTCAAAGAAGTAAAAACAAGATGATGAGCCAGAACCATTACTATATTTCTTCTAAAATCACTGCATTTCTTGGAAAATGTGCAAATGCTTCTCCACCTGGACTTCTGAAAGCAGCATCTCTACCCTTGCTCCATCCTTTCCTCGTACCTCTTTCTAACACAATAGTTTCACCTTTGTAAGGTCAAGTCCTATATGAAATGTGATCATTCTTTATAATATGTCTTTTTGACTATGCTTTTATTTTTAGTAGAATTGCTATAGTTTTATTAGCGCTCTAGTGACAAAGTAGTGTAGATGTTCAGTAGTCTATCCTGTAACTTTTTTTTTTATAAAGATTTTATTTATTTATTTGAGAGAGATAGATACACAGCGAGAGAGGGAACACAAGCAGGGGGAGTGGGAGAGGGAGAAGCAAGCTTTCTGCAGAGCAGGGAGCCCGATGCGGGGCTCGATCCCAGGACGCTGGGACCATGACCTGAGCCGAAGGCAGACGCTTAACGACTGAGCCACCCAGGCGCCCCCCCTGTAACTTTATTTTCTCCATAAACCTTGTTATTTTTTTGTGCAGTTTTGCAGAAAGCATGTTTTTTCATGAGTTCACGTATTCTAACATAGATGCCTATATAAGCAGTCTCTTACCTCTAGCCAGTACACCTTTTCCCTTTGTTTCAAAAAAACAATATTGGTTTTTCCCTTAAGATGTGCCTGTTACTTTAGAATTTCCCTCTTTTAGCTTTGTTAAGAAATGTAGCCATTGACAGGACTTGGTGTTTGGTCAGTTCTGGGGAATGTTCACATTTGATAGTTTTTCATACGATTCGGGATTATAGGAATCTCCCTAGTCTTAGAGAATATTATGTTTGCGTACGTGTTTCTCATTTTTCTTGTTTCTGTGTGATTTCTGGAAAAAGGGGGAAATGGCACTGTTGCAGACATTTTCAGCTGCCAGCTGGACACAGGTGTCCCTGCTTCAGAAAGTTTCTCTCTAACCCACTTCACTGTACTCACTTGCTCTTACAAAACACCTGTGTTAGTACCGGAATGGCTCCTTTGCATAAAAATGAAAATCCCCTCTGGATTTCTTCTGGTGAGCAAACCCAGGAACGAATGCAGTCCTTTTACGGGCGAAGTGGCCCCACGCGAACTTACAGAAAATGGGGGAGACTTTGCTGTATGCCATTTCGCTAGCAGTAGTTTTCATAGGAGCGCTCTACTCCTGTACAGCGGGAAAACCTGTGTCTGTTCTCCCCTCTTCCTTCCTTAAAACAGGATGATTCCTTCCAGCTTTCCTTGTACTCGAGTTGGCTGTGCAGCATACCTCTGGCCAGGGAGAAACAGGCATGTTTTCTGGGAGTTTCTGGGAAAGCTTTTACTTTCCTTATAGAATGGGACAGATGTGTTTAGTTCTGTATTTTCCCACTTCCTGTTTTGAACATAAATGTGTCTGGAGCCATTTCAGAAACTTCTTTTTTCAGTTGATAAATTTTGGAGAGGAGGCTGACAGTACTACAAACAAAATTGTTTCTATCCATGGATATTGCAGATGAATATAAAATTATCTATAATCTGTACCTTTTAAAGCATAATATTTCACTAGCTGACATCTGAATGTTGGTATGGACTCTGTTTTTCTTTCATTTTTATTTAAAAAAAACCAGCATTTAGCATAGGAAATGATGAGATGCCACTGATAGCTAGTAAAGTGAATATAATGTTATATAATATTATATTTCATGTATATTTATATATATGTCTTTATGCTTTATTAATCCAACAAAAATTAGCAAAAAACCCCCACTTAATTCTAAGTTTTATTGTCAATTATAGGATAACTCTTTGATTATTTAAGCTAGCATTTCTTTTTTTTTTTAAGATTTATTTATTTATTTGACAGAGACACAGCGAGAGACGGAACACAAGCAGGGGGAGTGGGAGAGGGAGAAGCAGGCTTCCCGCCGAGCAGGGAGCCCGATGCGGGGCTTGATCCCAGGACTCTGGGATCATGACCTGAGCTGAGGGCAGACGTTTAATGACTGAGCCACCCAGGCGCCCCTCTTTTTTTTTTTTAATTTTATTTTATTATGTTAGTCACCATACATTACATTATTAGTTTTTGATGTAGTGTTCTATGATCCATTATTTGTGTATAACACCCAGTGCTCCATGCAGAACGTGCCCTCTTTAATACCCATCACCAGGCTAACCCATCCTCCCACCCCCACCACTCCAGCAACCCTCAGTTTGTTTCCTGAGATTAAGAGTCTCTTACGGTTTGTCTCCCTCTCTGGCTTCATCTTGTTTCATTTTTCCCTTCCTTCCCCTATGATCCTCTGCCTTGTTTTCTTAAATTCCACATATCAGATCATATGATACTTGTCTTTCTCTGATTGACTTATTTCGTTTATCATATAATACCCTCTAGTTCCATCCACATTGTTGCAAATGGCAAGATTTCGATTTTTTTGATAGGCTTAAGCTAGCATTTCTTTTCAATATATACATATGGGGAGTTAGCCAATTAGCTAAAATAAATCAGGACATGCAGATCAACAGTATTTTATGGTAATTGGGGTTGTGTCAAACTTCACTAGGAATTTTATCATCTAGATTGATCAATGAATATTTCTAGGGCAGTACTAAAAGCTTATATGTGCATTATAATTGACTTTTATGCTCATTTTATGCCACCTTTTATAGTAACATGGATAAAAAGTTGTTTTTTTTTTTTAAATATGCGTGGCTTGTTTAATTTGCCGTAGTAATTGTTTTCCATTGCTTAGCTTGTCACACCTTAGCATTGAAAATCTCAGCACAAGCTCAGACATCAATGAAAGCATCACTTCCAAACACTATTTTCCAGACTTATATTTTCCCTATGCCAGATCCAAACTACGTACAAAAATCTCATATCTGAATGTATAATGTACTACAAACCAATAAGCAAAAGGACACATACCCCAATAAAGAAATCAACAAAAGATTTGAACATGCACTGTACAAAAAAAGGGTAATTAGCCAATAAAACTGTAAAACAATGACTCAATCTTACTAATCAGAAAATTGCAAATTAAAACAGTATGTGGTACCATTTTATTCCAACCAGTGTGGATTAAAAGTGCTGACATGACCAAATTTTGGTAAGGATGTTGAGCCACTGGAGTGCTTATATCCTGGTAGGAATAAGTTGTTGGACCACTTTGGAAATACCTCCCATGCATAAGCATACTCTGATCCAACAAACCTACTTCCAGGTATGTATCTACAAGAAACACTTTCAGGGAGCAGCAGCATTATAATTACAGAAACTCTAAACAACTGAAATGACTGTTAAAAGTGGGATGGGTGAACGTAGTTATGGTGTATTTGTACTGTTGGGTATTGTGCAACAATGAAAACAAAGCAACAACTACACTCAACAGTGTGGATGAACTTCACACAGTGTTGAGCAAAGAAGCCAGACAAAAATAAGTACATGTTGTATGGTTTTCCTTACATAAAGTTCGAAAAGCAACATGACTCTGTGTCAGAGTAGTCATTAATTTTGGGGAAGAGAGTAGGGCACAAGTGGCCTCTGAGATGCTGATCATGTTCTGGGTGGTTCACTTCGTGATAAATCATCGAGCTCTGCGCTTATGAGCTGAGTACTTCTTTCTAAGCATGTAATCCAGTTAAAAATTGTGTTAATGATGGGGCACCTGGGTGGCTCAGCTGGTTGAGGGCTGACTCTTGATCTCCGGGTGGTGAGATCGAGCCCCATGTGGGCTCCGTGCTGAGTGTGGAGTCTGCTTGAGAGTCTCTCTCCCTCTCCCTCTGCCCCTCCCCCCGATCACATGCTTTCTCTCTCTCTTTCTCTGAAATAAATCTTAAAAAATCGTATTAAAGATTTTTATCCCATTACGATGTCTCCTGTGTGCTGGCTAGGGTATTTGACTGTATGCACATTTTTAGATTATATGTCCTATGAATGAGGAATTATTTTTGTAAAGCCAAGACCTAGTGAGGGAAATTTTCAGAATTAACCAAATGTGTAAATGCCCACCAAAGGATAAGCTAAATTTTTACTTGGATTTTGCAAGTTAGATGCAGAGCATGGGTAATCGGTGCCAGGTGTATGGCAGAGCGTGGATTGATCAGGTTTCCATACCAGGTTCTTCTGTATTGATAGATCAGATTTTTTCTTTGTTTTGTCCTCAAGAATATTTGGCAGACTGTTGAAATGTTTGGTCTGACGGCGGTGTGGCTTCCACGAGGCTGTTGTGCAAGAACGCAGGCTTGGCAGGGATGTGAAGTGGCCAGGCCTCTTCACTGTACGGAGCCCACTCCGAGAGCCTCCAGCCGGGGAGTCCGAGCCTCTTATTTGCGTCCTTTTCACTGTAAGGTATATGAAATAAATACAAGTCAGAATTTCTGTTGTTAGGGAGATGACAACTTGCTTTTTTTTTTTTAATTAACTTTCATCCTTGCTCTGTTTTATTCTTTTTAAAAATTTTCACTTATTTGTGAGGGAGAGCACATGCACAGCCAGGGGGAGCAGCGGGCAGAAGGAGAAGCAGGGTCCCCACTGAGCAGGGAGCCCAGTGTGGGCTCGATCCCAGGACCCCGGCATCATGACCTGAGCTGAAGGCAGACGCTTAATCGACTGAGCCACCCAGGCGTCCCCAAAAATGGTTTCTTATGGGAGTGGGGGTGGAGTAGAATATGAGCAAGACTTCTCTGAGTATATATTTTGACTTTTTTAATATCATGTAAATGTTTTAAGTATTTAAAAAGCAATGTTAAATTCAAAATGATTAAACACAAACATGAACTCAGCTGTACATGAAATTACAATAATAGCAAAACAATAATTGAGGTGACTTGAACACGGTGTTCTGACTATATACTCTTAGTGGGGTACTGTCTGGGCATAGAAAGCCACAGAGATAATTGATTTTATAGGTATGCTGTTGGGAGTGTTCTGTAACACACAGCACTGTAATTCTGAAACTTGAGTGTTTATTGTAGGTTAGAGCAAATGGGTACATAACATTGTATTGAACTGGGTTTTGTTTGTGTCACTGTGGGAGAAAGATATGTTAAAATGGAATATGGAAAGGTGAGGTATGGCATTGAAATGGAATGGAATTCATGATAATCTAGAAATACGTTCCAGCTCTATCCATAAAAGGGCCTGGAGGGGATGACGCACCATGAACAATGAGCCCACCTACTACTCAGTCTTTGTTTCCAACACTGTTGCTCTAAAATGAATCAAGCCTTCTTGGGGAAACGGTTGAAACTAGATCTGGGACAGGGCAAGTACAGTGTGGTCCTTGTGTTTATTGTTCTGGAAAGCACAGATGTGCTAAAAACACTAGTGGGGTCATGTTCCAAGAATGCAGGAACCTGATGAAAGGGACGCTGGGGCTAAATGGGAGACAGTTTAAGATTGAGGTGAGTAAGGATGGAATGGATTACAGAATAAGTCTGTAGTGATATTCAAGATGAGAGACAGAGGAGGCGCCCGGGTGGCTCCGTTGGTTAAGCGTCTGACTTGATTTTGGCTCAGGTCATGGTCTCGGGGTTGTGAGGTGGAGCTCACCTCAGGCTCTGTGCTGAGCATGGAGCCTGCTTAAGACTCTCTCTCCCTCTGTCCTCCCCATGCAGTGCACACAAATGAGAGAGAGCTCTTTACAGAAAATTACTAGCTAGTCAGTGTAGAAGGAATTATAAAGGCAGGCAGTCACCATTTTGCAACCCCCAGTATAAAAATTGGTTAGAATCATCAGTGAATGCTAAAACCATTGGGGAATAGGCTATTTATGTAGTTCCATACTATCACCCATAGCTGACTTATTAATTACAGTGGGAAACGTGAGTGGATAGAGCTGGTAGGTCACTACCTGAACTGTGTGATCAAGTTTGGCATGATCAGTAATGAGATAACTTGGTAGTGTGTGCCCTGGGACGCACCACCGTAAGGACACAGCACTTGCGTAGTGTTCTTCCAGAAATTCCTCACGAGAGTCCATCTGTGAAGAAGGAGGAAGACAAATCCCTAATGTGGGATATTCTGTAACATAACTGGCTCTGAGTTTTCAAAAACTGAATGTCATAAAAAGGCAGGAAACTTTTAGATTAAAAGAATCAAAAGACATAATAACGGAAAACAATGTAGAAGTACTGTTTCACAAAGTTAAAAAAAATCATAAAGTATATTTTGGGGACAGTTAGGGAAACTTAATTATAAACCATATATGAGATGATTAGTGTAAGAAGATAATGTTTTCTTTTTTACCCAGCACAGTCATCCAAAATGATCGGCTTCTTTCCCCGTCCATAACACTGGGGTGATGTTTTCCACATTTATTCTAAAACAACTGTCAGATTCCTTTCTGCGTTGAATAGCTCATGAGTAACTCTTAGATAATTTGCATAACCTCACCCCAGATATTTATTTTTAATTGCTCACACTGAAATCTACTTAACAATTTTCTTTTCTTTTTCTTATTTATTTATTTATTTTTTTTTTTAAAGATTTTATTTATTTATTTGAGAGAGAGAATGAGAGAGAGAGAGCACATGAGAGGGGGGAGGGTCAGAGGCAGAAACAGGCTCCCTGCCGAGCAGGGAGCCCGATGCGGGACTCGATACCGGGACTCCAGGGTCATGACCTGAGCCGAAGGCAGTCGCTCAACCAACTGAGCCACCCAGGCGCCCTTTAACAATTTTCTTTTAATTAACGCAGTTTAGGGAGGATTCCTTTCATGTGTTCCTGTTGTTATTCCCCCAAACAGGAACCACAGGGATGAGTATCTGTCCAGTGGAGACAGTTTCGGCTGCATGACTGGCTTTATTAGTCCCAGCATTTTTTATTTCTTCTTATTCCATATGGGACTCCTCTTAAGAATTCAGTGAAGACTTTATCTTCTTACGTACTATTTCAGTAGAAGACTGTTCTGAGGTTTGTGCAGTGATCGTGTATGTTAATTTCCAGCTGTACCTGTTTGTCCTCAGGTCCCACAGGGCACAGATGGGCCGGAAATTCCTATGGAGGAAATGACTCCTGTGGAGACCGCAAAGGAGCCCTTAGGTGCCCAGCTCCAGCCCATGGAAGACAGAATGGAATGTGACTCTCCGGAGCCACACCCACTGCAGGATAATGGTGAGGATAATCTAGTCTGGAAAGAGGATGAGATTTGAGAGCGGGAAGGGTCTGGTCGCTGAGAAGTTATCAAACCTCATTCCGTTGCAGCCTACTGAACGTAGCTGAAGGAAAACTCAGCCAGTGTCGTGTGATGCTGTTAAAGGAATTGAATCCAGCAGCCACGTAATAATGTAAGAAAAAGTTGAATACAGCCAATAGTTCCATGGTTTTCCATGGATATTTTGCAATGGAATTAAGTACCTGTGGGTAAATCAGAGGTGCATCTGTGGTGATCGTTTGTCAGTGTAGCCGTAGGTCCCATTTCTGTAGCCTCTGCCCCAGTTTTTGTCAGTATGATGTTTAACACTTAGAAATTCTACTTAGAAATTCTGTTAAAGAAAACGAGGGGCGCCTGGTCGGTGAAGCATCTGCCTTGGGCTCAGGTCATGATCCCGGGGTCCTGGGGTTGAGTCCCGCATTGGGCTCCCTGCTCAGCTGGGGGTCTGCTTCTCCCTCTGACCTTCCCCCTGCTCGCTCTCTCTTTCAGATGAATAAATAAATCTTTTTAAAAATCTATTACTGTATTGCTGAGGCTTTTCTAGCCAAAAAAATTTATCTTTTGTAGTTAATAAATAACATCAGTTTACTTCTTGTTTTATATAAAACAGTGCTTTACTTTAAGGTTAATCCCAGAGACTGCTCTGGAAAGTCACATCCTGGCTTTCTACTCTTTACTATATCAGAATTTTTTGTTCCTGACTGGGGTTCTTCATTTACCTTCTATTCCTCCAAGGCTGAACTCCCTAACCAAAACTGTATTCCCCCCAGCTTGTGTGCTCATAGCCTCTACTTCTACCCCAAACTCTAGTGGCTACTTGGGCAATATATATATTTCAAATTAATTGTTTTTTTCTTTATATTTTAGGGTCATTTTTGTGGCTTTCCATGATGTCTCAAAGCATGGGTGATGATAACCCCAGTAGTTTAGACACTAATGAGTCAGAAATTGAACCAGAAAAGATGAGAGAGAAGTTCTTCAGAAGCTTAGCAGTGTTACTGGAAAACAAAAGCAATAATGCCAAGATATTTTCTAAAGCAAAGTACTGTCAGTTAATAAGGGAAGTGAAAGAGGCTAAAGTGAAGGCAAGAAAGGAATCCGTTGACTACCGTCGCTTAGCTAGATTTGATGTGATCCTTGTACAAGGAAATGAGAAGCTGATTGAAGCTATAAATGGGGAAACAGATAAAGTACGGTATTACTTACACAGCGAGGAGTTATTTGACATTCTGCATGATACCCATCTCAGCATTGGACATGGTGGGCGTACCCGCATGGAAAAAGAGTTACAAGCCAAATACAAGAACATCACGAAGGAAGTTATAATGCTATACTTGACACTCTGCAGACTATGCCAACAGAAGAATTCAAAACTCAAGAAAGTTCTAACATCAAAGCCAATGAAGGAAGTGAATTCAAGATGCCAAGTGGATCTTATAGACATGCAATTGAATCCTGATGGGGAGTACAAATTTATTATGCATTATCAAGACCTTCGTACAAAGTTGAGTTTTTTGCGGTCACTAAAATCTAAAAAGCCTAAGGAAGTTGCACATGCTCTTTTAGATATTTTTACAATTATTGGAGCACCCAGTGTCCTACAATCAGACAATGGGAGGGAATTTTCAAGCCAGATTGTCCATGAACTCAGTAATACTTGGCCAGAATTGAAAATTGTCCATGGGAAGCCTCCACCCTGTCAAAGCCAAAGTTCAATGAATCAAACTCATGAGGATATCCAAAATAGGATTATCTCCTGGATGCAAACTAACCATTCATCGCACTGGGCTGAATTTTTATGGTTCATTCAGATGACCCAAAATCAACCCTATCACCGAGGCATGCAGCAGACTCCATTTGAAGGCACGTTTAGCTCTGAAGCTAAACTAGGCCTGCGTCATCCTCAGTTAACTGAAGAACTTACTGCTAGCCTGAATCCAGAAAACGAATTAGAAGAGGCCGACAGAGAATTCGAAAGTATGCCGGGAGCACCTTATGAAGAGAACATCGAGACTGGCACGAATAGCAGTGATACTGAAAAGCATCTTTCTGCTCCTACCGGGGCCATGAAGAACCCTCCCGAAAACAGAGTAAAAGTTGTATCTGGTGTAGTTTGTGAGAAAGAACGCTCAGGCGCTCATGGTTGTGTGTCATGTGATGGGGACGTCCGTGCGATCTGTGGAGTGCCCCCTCAACGTAACACTGAGGGCTGTCATCACAGAATAACGTGCAGTTTCTGCTGTGAGACCACGACAGTGAAAAGGAAACGTGATGAAATCCAAAGAAGTTTGACTGGTCAGCCTTCCAAAATGCTGAAGCCGTCAGAGACACCATTTTCATCAGACAAAGTAGGAGATTGGGTAAGAGTCTGAGTACCTGCTGCAGAGCGGAGCCGGGAAGAGCTTCGTTACACATCACTGTGCTCGTGATGGGTGAGGATGTTCTGGCGTGGTGGACGTGTTAAAGCACCATTGGGCCAACTTGGGTCTGTTTTCTCCAGAGAAAAGCCCATTACTTTTAACACCCCCCCCCCCCCACTCCTTTTTTCAGGTTGGAAGTTATAACCTTGAATGCTGCTTTATTTGTTGTCTGGGGTTATGACAGTATCTTTTACTCCTTTCTGGTACCAGGCATTTCCTGGGGGAAGTGAGAAAGCTAGGATGGTGTGTGTGAGGGTGTGTTTCTCCAGGAGGATGAATGTGGGAAAAGCCGAACTTAATGTTACTTTGTTTTAATTGTATGTGAGTTTGGGTGGGGAGGTAAGCTAAGAAAGGGCATCTCGGTCAAGTGAAGAAGTATTTAGGGGAAGATGATCAGTCTGATTGGAGATAACAGGTTTGTGTTGAGAAAAAGCTCAGTTTTCAGATTTAAATGGAGAGCATAAGATAAGGCCAAAGAGATGTGTTTTAAATCAGTAGGTTTTATAAAGTAGAGTTAATGTGTGTTGAGTTTAGAGTTTTGAAATACGGAGGTTACACATGCAATTGAAACCGGTGGTCTGCAGACTGTTCCTACTAGTCCGCAAAGGGGTAAGTACCCTAATCAGGAGTTATGACAATTGGACAGTGCTGTAGCACCCAGGCATATGATTCATGAACTCGTGTTTTTGAATAGAACGCGGGCCGGTTTGGGCGTCTCTAACCTCTCAAGGCCAGTTGTCGTGCTGCGAGCTGCACATCAGTCGAGCACAGTTACGGCGTGTGGTGTTGGATGGCTACTTTGTCTGCTGTAACTCGGAAGAATGTAAACCTTTATCTCTATAACTTAATTTTAAAACCATTTCTGAGTTTTTAATCAAGCCTAGTTTTTAATTTGTAGTTTGTTATCAGAAAAAGGAAAGTAAAATTTGTATTATTTATTTTTATTCCTAATTTGCAGATGGCAAAACAAGCTTCACTGGACTTTTTTGTCAAGAAAAAACATACCTTTTCTGAATACAGCAGCCGTAGTAAGAGAAATGGTACCGATGGAAGTCGCCCAGAGCAGGTGAAAACCAGAAGAGTTCACACAAGTTTTACTCGGAAGTATGATCCCTCGTATATCGAGTTTGGGTTTGTAGCTGTAATTGATGGTGAAGTGCTGAAACCGCAGTGTATTATCTGTGGAGATATACTGGCTAATGAAGCAATGAAACCATCAAAACTTAAGCGGCATTTGTTTTCAAAACATAAAGAAATAAGTTCACAACCAAAAGAGTTCTTTGAGAGAAAGAGTAGCGAATTAAGAAGCCGGCCAAAGCAGGTGTTCAGCGTGTCTCATACAAACATCAGTGCTCTTCGGGCTTCTTACAAAGTGGCGCTCCCGGTTGCCAAGTTGAAAACGCCGTACACGATCGCGGAGACGCTGGTGAAAGACTGCATCAGAGGAGTCTGCCTGGAGATGCTGGGTGAGTCCGCAGCGGAGAAGGTGGCTCAGGTACCGCTTTCCAATGACACCATGGCTCGACGCATTCAGGAGCTGGCCAGCGACATGGAAGACCAACTCATAGAGCAAATTAAAGAGGCGAAGTACTTTTCGTTGCAACTTGATGAATGCAGAGACACTGCTAACATGATCATTCTTTTAGTGTACGTGCGGTTCGAACACGGTGATGATATAAAGGAAGAATTCTTCTTTTCAGCCTCTCTACCGACAAACACGACTAGCTCAGAACTGTATGAAGCTCTGAAGAATTACGTTGTGAGCAAGTGTGGTCTGGAATTTAGGTTTTGTGTAGGACTGTGTTCAGATGGCGCAGCCTCCATGACAGGAATGCATTCCGAAGTGGTTACCCAGATTAAGGAGCTTGCACCAGAATGCAAAATAACACACTGCTTCATTCATCGAGAAAGTCTGGCTATGGAAAAGGTGTCAGCAGAACTAAACAGTGTGCTTACTGACACAGTAAAAATTGTGAATTATGTCAAGTCTAACTCGTTAAATTCAAGACTGTTCTCTTTATTATGTGATAATATGGAAGCTGATCATAAGCAGCTGTTACTGCATGCTGAGATCCGGTGGTTATCTCGGGGAAAAGTTCTATCAAGAATGTTTGAAATACGAAATGAACTCTTAGTATTTCTGCAGAGCAAAAAACCAGTTTGGTCCCAGCTTTTCAGAGATGTGAATTGGACAGCCAGACTTGCTTATTTATCTGATATCTTCAGTATTTTTAATGACCTTAATGTTTCCATGCAAGGAAAGAATGCAACCTGTTTTTCAATGGCTGATAAGATTGAAGGACAAAAACAGAAGTTAGAAGCTTGGAAAAACAGAGTTTCTACAGATTGTTATGACATGTTCCATAATTTAACAACAGTTATCCATGAAGTAGGTAATGACCTTGACATTGCCCATCTGCGAAAAATTGTCAGCGAACATCTTACAAATTTGTTGGATTGTTTTGAATTGTATTTTCCATCAAAAGAAGATCCACGTGTAGGAAACTCATGGATCCAAAATCCATTTCTTTCACCAAAAGATAATTTAAATTTAACTGTAACTCTACGGGATAACTTGTTGAAGCTGGCTACTGATGAAGGATTGAAAATGAACTTTGAAAATACAGCATCACTTGCTTCCTTTTGGATAAAAGTTAAAAATGAGTATCCTGAGCTTGCTGAGGTGGCTTTAAAATCCCTCCTCCTATTCCCCTCAACATCCCTCTGTGAGACTGGGTTCTCTGCCTTGAGTGTTATTAAAACAAAACACAGGAACAGTTTAAATATCCATAATCCCCTGAGAGTAGCACTGTCGTCAATCCAGCCTAGGTTAGACAAGTTAACAAGCAAGAAGCAAGCTCACCTATCACATTAAAAACTTGAAGGTGTCCCGTCAAGGTATGCATATACGCATCACGGAATAGGAAAAGTTATGATTAAAATAGCAGTTTTCTGTATCAATTGTCTATATGTACACTTTCAGTTAAATGTACAGTTTTTATAACTTTTTTCTTGTTATATTTATTAAAACGTAACTTTAAATCTGTTGCTTCTAATATTAAAAAATTTGGTCTTACATTTTGTACGTCTTTGTTACTGTTGTACTTCATTAGCATATTTAGATTGGGGCACCACTTCAGGATGGTAGTGATTTCCTTGAAATGGCGTCTTAGACCGCTGGCGGGAAGTGAGCTCGGGGCTGGAATTAGAATCGGAGTGCCAGGGTCAGGAAGGGGGTGGGCTTCTGCAGCTAGTCCTGGGTGGAAGCTGACCGTAAGTTTCCTCCGTGGGTGCGTGTTTAGACACAGTGTTTACATGGCTGAGGTGGGGGAAACACCTCGTCATGGTGTCATGGCTTTGGATTCTCGTTGGTAAGTTCCAATTTCATTACGGTGGGGGATCGGGCCCCTCAAGCCACAGAGTTTAGATCAGGTACAGAACTTTAGATTTTGCTGGAGCCGACTGCTGTCAAGGTTCTGTGGGTCAAAGCCAGGTATTTTATCACCTTGGGTAGATGTAGTAACCTCTACTGGGTGGAGACAGACAGTTCAGGAAAATGCCACACATCTGCATTCGCTCAGAATTACCGAAAACAAACGATTAGCACAAGGCAGGTTCTTTAGGGTAAAACATGCCAAGATCCTTGGAGAAAGTGTCTTTTCCTAGGCAGGGAAGCAACATAACTGTGATGCTTCTGTTCTAAGAAATGTACCATTGAAGGTTGAAGAAGGGAAGGATATTTAGTAATACCGAATGTCACTACCACTTTATTGGTTAGAAAGTTTCATCGGAATGATCCCAAACATCTTAGAAAGTAGAGGAAATGTTTTCCACAGTCAATTCTGAAGCTTTAGTAGGATTATATTTCATTGTGTATGTTTAATAAAATCTTACAGCTTTTCAAAAATAAGGTGATAGTGGTGGACAGATACCCATGACAGTGGTTTAATTTTGTCCATCTACATTTCTGCGTCCTCTCTCCTACCTGACTATATTTTGGAACTAAGGGACTTATATTTTTCAAATGTTACCATTTGTTGATTGAATACTGTGCTTCCAATTTTCAGTTTTAAAAAGCAATGTATGTATGGTGATTTTATACTTATTTCTATAAATGCCTGAAGTGTCTGGGAGAAAATAAACTGAGGGACATAAAGAGTATATTTTAAAAGAGAACTGAATTCCCATATTTTCTCTCTAATAAATACAAAGTATTGGATATCTGAGAACAGAATTAGAATCATCTGGACAAAATTTTTGGTGTGATTTTTGGCCTTCTCAGATATTTGCATTAGATGCCTGCCTATTTTTCCTGCAAATGACTCAGTACTAGGAGGCTGAATTGCTTTCCCTCTACCTTTTTTTTAGGAATATTTGTCTTTCCTCCATTTCTTCCTCCCTGTGTTTTATTGTCTTACTGTACATTTTTTTCTTCAACAGCTTTATTGAGCTATAGTTTACATGAAAATATGAATTTTATGAGTAGTGATTCTGTAAATCAGATGATCTTTTTCTCCCTATTTTCTCCTAGTTTGGCAGTGAGTTCACATGTGTGTATAGGTGGTGTATGCATACACCACGGAGGTAACTGCATGTTCTCTTGTGTGCACATAATGACTGTTGTGTTTGGTCCCATTTATTTTATGTATGTGTTGTTTTTAAGTTGTATTTATAGCTATTTATGTATGCCAGGATGTTGTGTTGAACTTTTCCTTTTACTCAAAGAATGGCAATTACAGAGGGGCCAAAGATGGGTCAAGGAGATGCTAAGTACCCCCTATTCTAAAGAACTGTTGGCATGCTAGACCCAGAAGCCCCCTGCCCTTCACACAGCACAGCACACAGACAGGCCTTCCAGTGTAACAAGTCGCTTGTGACGCCTTCAGGAAGAGGAGACTTGCGTTTCACTTCCAGACCAGGTGTTAGTCTAGGCAGGGGATGTGCTCACGGGCTCTGTGGCTCCCCAAGCAGGAAAAAGAAGTTGGGGAGAGCTGTTTAGACCTGCAGTAGATCGGCCCACGGTCCCACAGTTTGGGACAGAGAGATGCAAGTTCCCTGTGGGTCAGTTGACACCAAGGAGTGTAAGTCTGAGCCCTCAGCTAGTGTCCCATGCGGGAAAATGGTCCTCCAGCCAGGAGAGATCGCCAACGAAGGCTGCTGATGTTTATAGCTGCTGGGAGCTGAAGGTAAATTATTTTTCTATACATACATTTGTGGGCAAATGTCCTGAGAAAATCTCACGTGTTCCCCATAAGAAAGCTAGAATTCAGGGCACCTGGGTGGCTCAGTCATTAGGCATCTGCCTTCGGCTCAGGTCATGATCCCAGGGTCCTGGGATCGAGGCCCGCATCGGGCTCCCTGCTCAGCGGGAAGCCTGCTTCTCCCTCTCCCACTCCCCCTGCTTGTGTTCCCTCTCTCGCTGTGTCTCTGTCAAATAAATAAAATCTTAAAAAAAAAAAAAAAAGAATTCCAGGGTTTAATCAGAGAGCATGTTACCAATTTACACTTCGTGTGTGTACGTTGACCTCTTTAGATGAACGCCGGCCTCTTAGCAAGGATTATTGTCATGAATAGGGCTGAGTTTGGGGGAAGTAGGTTAGAGGGATGTGCAGGTGACAGCCAAGTGGCCTGCTCAACTTTATGCCCACGGGGCTCTCCTAAATAATAACTTGCAGGATGTCTTTTCTGGTGTTCACCAAGATACATTATTGTGAATGTTCCAAAAACTATAGAATTAGATAGTACATATTTTTAATTATACACATCATTACACATAACACCTTTGTTGCTTATTTACTTGAGAGTGAGTGAGCAGTGGGGAGGGCCTGGTGGGGAGGAGGGAGAGAGTCTTAAGCAGAGTCCGAGCTGAGCGCAGAGCCTGTCGCGGGGCTTGATCTCATGACCCTGAGACCATGACCTGAGCCAAAACTGAGTCAGACACTCAACCGACTGAGCCACCCAGATGCCCCTAGAATTAGAAATCATGATGAGGAAATAAAACATATATTTACTGGTTCAAAGAACATACTATGTGCTTTGTATTCTGATATACTTGTGTTAAGTTGAATTTACAGTCAATTTATTGTTATTGATTGATACAATTATGGTTTTAAAGATTTTATTTATTTATTTGACAGAGAGAGACATAGTGAGAGAGGGAACACAAGCAGGGGGAGTAGGAGAGGGAGAAGCAGCCTTCCCCACGGTGCAGGGAGCCCGATGTGGGGCTCGATCCCAGAATCCTGGGATCACGACCTGAGCCGAAGGCAGACGCTTAATGACTGAGCCACCCAGGCGCTCCGATACAATTATGGTTTTAATTAATTAAGCCTTGGTTCATTAAAAAATATAAAAAGGGAAAGAGCATGAGGCCATTTGGACTGTATGACTTTTAAGAGTGTGATTATGATTATAATGTGCTTTATCTTAGTAAACACTAATTTCTGACTGAAATCTCTTTTACATCTTTAGGAGGGCAAATTTTCCAAATTGCTGTTTTCCTATCTGAAACATCTTCTCTCATAGTTAACGTAAGGAACCAAAAGTGAACTCAGAGTGACTGGAGTACGAAGGAACGCAGGGCACTGTAGGTGGGAAAGGTGGCCGGAGATGGGGCTGCAGAAGAACAGAAGCTGATTCATGAGGACAAACCCAGGTAAGAAGTGTAGTCTTCATCCGGAAGACACTGGGAAGCACTAACGGATGATAAATAGAAGGTGACTTGAATTACATTTTAGCAAGATTTCTCTGCCCACAATGTGGCCAATAACCTGGAGTGCTAGAGGCAAGGAGGCCGCGTCCTGTCATGGGCTAGATTAGTGGTCGTGGTGTGGCTGGGGGCACGGCAGTAGGGATGAAAGAAAAGGGGCGTATCCGAGAGGCTCAGTATCGTAAGTGTGCCAGTTTCCAATCCTATTGAATTTACTGATAGAGGTTTCATGCCGTGTAACAGCCATCTAATATATATATGAGCAAAGGGTCAGACTTGCAAAAACATTTAAAAAAAAGCGGTGAGAAAACTTGCTTATTCTCACCTCAAACACTGAACCTTATTAAGCCACAGTGTATAGGACAGGGTGGTATGAGAGCAGAGATAGACAAACCATTGGACTAGAATAGGGATCCCACAGATCCATGGAAACTTGATATGACAGGGCTATTCCTGCTCAGTGGAGAAAAGAAAAAATTGATTATCCATTTGGGAGAAAATGAAATTGGATCCCTACATTCTAAATATATTAAAGATATAAATGTGAAATGCAAAGCTGTAGAACTTTTTCTTTATAAGTTACTACCCAGTGAAGTTGAAGACGGGCCTGCCCCGCAGTCTCTCAGGTCCACTGTTGGCTGTATGTCAAGCATCTGGAGGAGCCTCTGAATGCCGATGACACCTAGTGCTCCCAAGAGCCCAGATGGAAAACAACCCAGCTGTCCATTCACAGAAGAAAATATGGGAGGATCGTTTTTGAGCTTGAAGAAGCAACTGATTTCTTAGGATGTAAAAATACAAACCATAGAAAATGAACCTAGCTTTACTTAAATTATTACCTTTTGTTTATCTTAAGACACCATAAAATGTTAAGTCACTAAGCAAAACTGGGAATAGATATGTGCAACACATTTACTTGACAAAGGATTATTACATAAAATATAAAGAATTACTCCCAAATCAGTGAGGAAAAGACAAGCAACTAAATAGAAAAATTAGCAAAATAAGCACTTCAAAGAAGAGAGAAACTGAATGCCCAACAGACATAAAAAGATACTCAAAATCATTTGTAATCATGGAAATGTATATTTAAATTGCAATGAAATACTCTTTGTTTTTTTCCTAAAGATTTTATTTATTTGACAGAAAGAGACGCAGCAAGAGAGGGAACACAAGCAGGGGCAGTGGGAGAGGGAGAAGCAGGCTTCCCGCAGAGCAGGGAGCCCGATGTGGGGCTCGATCCCAGGACACTGGGATCATGACCTGAGCCGAAGGCAGATGCTTAACGACTGAGCTACTCAGCCCCAAAATACTGTTTTTTTAAGATTTTTTATTTTAAAGATTTTTTTAAAAAAATTTATTCATTT